TAGTGAGTTTTGATTAACACGTCGTTTACACACAAAAAACACTATTTATTTGTTAAAATCGGATGAGTTAGAATCTAAACGTGATTAAAACGTGATTAAAAATTAAGAACGGAGATCAGAAGCTGATTACGGAAAACTGAAAATTTATATACAAAATACTTATTATTAAGCACCCTAAAATAATCACAAAACCCAAAAACAATAATTACATTTAGGGTAGATTTAATTAAAATAAAAACAATAATAATATATTTTTTTTGAACAACCACTGGCGCACACATCCACCTAGGTTGGCTGCCGCTGCCACTTGGTGGCTGCTTCTGCCGGCGAGTACTGGTGGTGGTGGCCGGCCGGTGTGTGTGGTGGTGTGTGGTGGTGATTAAAAACATTAAAATTAAAAATAAAGGGATAGGGGAAAAATTAAGGAGAAGAGAATATAAGAGGAGAGAGAGAGAGTTTACCTTTGGGTGCACTTAAACCTAGGCTTATGATGGGTATTTATACCCCCTCTCAATATCCCTCCTTACTTAAAATTCCTAACTATCCTTAATGATCCCTTTCCTAATCAAACTTGTATTTTAACTTTCCATAAATACGTTTACTTTAAAATTTATCTTTTTATAAAATAATATGCCCCAATATTTTCAAATCATGAAATAAAATATTTTCTAGATTATTTAATAATTTAAATTTAATTCATTCTTTTTAAATTAATGAAAAACTCTGAATAATTTATTTCATATTATTTAAATATTTTAAGAAATACTTATTTAAATTAAAAATATGTATAAAAATACGGGGTATTAAAAATGATAATAATAATAATAATGATGATGATGATAATGATAATGATAATGATAATGATAATGATAATGATAATGATAATGATAATGATAATGATAATGATAATGATAATGATAATGATAATGATAATGATAATGATAATGATAATAATAGTAGTAGTAGTAGTAGTACCAGCAGTAGCAATAGTAGTAGTAGTTGTAGCAGTAGCAGTAGCTGTAGCAGTAGCAGTAGTAGTAGCAGTAGCAGTAGTAGCAGCAGTAGTAGTAGTTGTAGCTGTAGCAGTAGCAGTAGCAGTAGTAGAAGCAGTAGCAGCAGCAGCAGTAGCAGGAGTAGTAGGAGCAGCAGTAGTAGGAGTTGTAGCAGTAGTAGTAGCAGCAGTAGCAGCAGCAGTAGTAGTAGCAGCAGTAGCAGCAGCAGTAGTAGTAGCAGGAGTAGTAGTAGTAGCAGTAGTAGTAGTAGTAGTAGTAGTAGTAGTAGTAGTAGTAATAGTAGTAGTAGTAGTAGTAATACCTAATTGCGTTCTGTCCTATAGGGAAAACTAATTGTATGATTTTTATTTTAAAATTTTGAGCGTTGGCTAAAAAGGTGGCATTTTTGGGGCACCTTGTGTCCAAAGGATTAACAATAGACCCATCTAAGATTGAAGCGAGGAAAAAATGGCCTACATCTAAGAGTAAAGATAGATTGTTATATACACACGAGTGTACCGTATACCCATGGATATTTTGTTCTTATTTTGATGTTTGTTTTTCATTTAATCATCAAATGAAATGCAAAACCTAACCTTGGGTTAGTTTGGGTGTATGGTACACCCGGATGTATTTAACAAATTCTAAAGAGTGAAAGCAAAATGAGTCAAGAATGAAGGGAAAATGGAACTAAAACAGAAAGGGGAAAAAAAAAGTGTACGTTGGAAAACAGTCAAACTTTTGAAATCCGACAATAGGTACCTTTATAAGGTAATTAATAAGGTAGTTAATTACACTTTTTTTTTGGTTTATTATTTTTTTAATATGTAATTTTCATAATGCAGTTTCCCAAAAAATTTCCTAATTATTATGAAACTAGATTAGTCTCGTGCGATGCATGATTTGAATAGATAAAATATTCTAAATTTGTTTATCTTTTCATACCAAAATAAAAAAAAAATAAAAAAATTCCCGAAACAAATAATACGTACAAAAAAATGGAGCTCATAGAATAATTGAATGATGAAAAGAGTACTCGAACAAGTAAAATTAAATTATTATATTACTAGAGAGAATAGGAGCAAGCCCCAATTTATGACCTAGATAAACAAATTATGTTTATGAAATGACATTTTCGCAAATAAGTTGCATTGAAAGTTGTGTTTTTTGATAAAAAAAAATATATATTTTTATTATTTGTGGGCCATGGACAAGTTGGACATATTTCAAAGTTAAACACTGTTAACTCTCCGTTTGCTACTATTCATCTTCTTCCTCCCACCTTCTTCTTCTTCTTCATGTTCATCTTCTTCCTCTTGTTCATATATTTTCCACCCACCTTAATCTTCTCCCTCCAATCTCTGCCCACTTTCACCTTCTCTTTCAAGTCCAGTCCGTTCAACTCCATTTCCGCCGGCTTTGCCTGCGAAATTAAACGAAAACCCTAATAACAAAAGGAGAAATTAATGGCATGGTTAACCCTAATGGGTAGCCGAGTTTTCCTTCCTCCATTAAATTAGAATTTGCACCACCATTTTCGGCGGCTTTGCCGCCAAAATTAAATGAAAACCCAAATAACAAAGTGAGAATAATGGGCATGGTTAACCCTAAAGGGTAGATAAGCTTTACTCCCTCCATTGATTTCGACTTGTTCGACGTCATATAGTGAAAAGGTGTGTTTTCCACCATTGAAATTGAAGGTTGAAGGAGGAGAGAGAAAACAACAAAAGGTTGAAGGAAGAGAGAGAAAATCATAAAATATCAAAAGGCTGAAAGAGGAGAGAGAAAACAACAGTTAACCAAAGTTAAATGTAATTTACATATACGCCCCTTGATAAACATGTATTTTTTCAGAGAATAGTATTTTTTCAAATATTGATACTAATAAAAATATAGCGGACTAAAATTTTAATGAAATAAAAAATAAATAAAGTGATGAGATCATTTATAATTTTGGAGGGGAAATTTTTAATAACAACATGACATGTGTCCAATTTCAGAAAAGGATGATGTCAGCGGTTGCTATTTTAGTATTAATTATAGATAGATTATAGATTATAGATTATAGATATATTTGAAATGGGTGACAAAATCATGTCTCGGTTTATTTTAGTAATGACTAATTATAATTAATTAATTATTAAAGAAAATTTTGTTATATTTTTGCTTTGCACTAGACCTAGCTAATTTTAAATTATTTCTCTCTCTTCATGGTTCCCAGTTTTACATTCAATATTACCCCGTATTATTTTTTTCCTCTCACATTCTAATGTTTAACTAGTATTGGGAGCACGTAGATGTCTTAAGTCAATAGTTAACAACAATTACATATACTAGGGCGGCTAATGCGCACGATGCGCGCCCGAACTAGCCATGTTCAAAAAGATATTTTGGTTTAACCTTATATCATAATTTTAGATTTATAGCTAGCCATGTCCGAAAAAGTATTTCGATTTGGCCTTATGTCATAACTTTAGATGTTGGTAATATTATATAAGGGAAAGTATGTAAACAAATAATTTTAGGGGTATAAATGTCCGCACACTATTCTTAAGAGTTTATTTAAAAAATTGACAATTAATATTAATGAGGGTAAATAAGTAAATAAACATTTTAAATTAAAGGGTATAATTGTCCAAACATTATTCATAATAGTTATCTCAAACTTTTTACAAGGTAGGGAAACATTATTTATAAAAGTTATCTCAAACTTTTTAAAAGGTAGGGATAATTCATATATCAAATTTTTTTTTATTGAATTTTATTTATCACATTGTTATTTATTAGGTTTTTAATTTTATTTTGTTTTCTTTAGTTTTTTTTTTTTTTTATTTTATTTTCAAAGGAAAACATGAATTACATAGCCTACTGATAAGGTCTATATATACTAATCTATTAAAAGGCATAGAAAAAAAGAAAAAAAAAACACCAAAAATATTAAATACATATAATCTCAAAGTTCAATTAAAGTAGTAACCCGATGCAATGCCCGGGTTATACCCTAGTTTCTAATTATTTCAATGTAACTAATGACCTAGATTGAGAAACATCAAATGATGGATAGCTCCACATGTCATTTAAACATTCTTACGAACACTTTTTATAGATAAAATAAATACTTCAAAATGATCATGTGATATCTTGTTAAGTTCATAGCTTATAATATTTTAATTACATTATTGCAAATTGTGTAAAAAATAAATACAATAATAAAAAAAAATAAAGAGGACCCTAACCTAACCACAACCCTTGCATTTTTTATTTTATTATTTTATTTTTTTTTGCAACTGAGAGGAAGAGATCACAAGACAAATTTCTCACCAACTACACCAAGTCATGACCCTATTGTTGTTGTACAAGTATTTATCTATAAGATACCCTTCCATGACCTCTTATGGCCAATTCCCGAATTCCTTGCATACTAGCTGAATAGATTTAGCTCTGACTTTTCTAAATTACTAGAAAATCATAAATATTTTTAAGCCTGTCATATTCTTCCTACCATTACTTGCCCCTATTTCTTCAACATCTTGGTTTGTAACTGAAGCGCCATAAGAACAAATCTTATCATCCAATAAATTTTTGCTGTTTTATCAAATTGGTGCTGTTTAGTCTCAATATTCAATAAGCATAGGGATCGAAAAGTATGAGCTACAACATCATAATTCCTTCTCGTTCAAATGCCAAATTCTCCATGAAATGCTTGAATGTAATGTTTGCATAAAGCACGCTCACAACTCACAAGATAAGTTACCACCGAGAACTGAATAACTATTCTCAAATGACCATGTTTATCATAATAAACCTCTGTGAAAATGGGTAGTTGCTGAGTTTGTTATCACCAGAACTACGGACAGGAATGATCAGCAAGATTAATTAAACTGAAAATTTCAGGGTGATCTCTAGAAACCGCATAACATTCCAAGGTACCTTCCCCAAAACACCTAATCCTCCAGAATCACCCTAAAACATCAACATAAAAGGTCATTGGCTTAATTGTGTAGAGAATAAAGAAAACAATTTCATCAAATCAACTGACTGAACTGGTATAAAGCAAAACACACTAAAGTTGATGTACAATTAACAATGAACCCATATTAGGTAATGTAAAGCAAGGTCAATACTTGTGCAAAGGTTAGGATAGCTCCTGAACCAAGAGAAAGATGACTTCCTCGCAGAAACCCTTAACAATGATAGAAAATGCTAAAACAAGACGACAATCAAGTTCAACGAAAAACTTAGTCCTTCGTAATTACTTGCTGAGGTCAGCAAGGTGTCCATTCTCAGGGTCAATCTGTCCTTTCACCACTGTGCCAACATCTTGTTTTGAGCAGTTTCCATTCAAATGGTCATTGGTAATAGTATCTCCGTGCTGCAGATAATTTCCATTTGCTTCAGATGGATGACTACCTGAAGCAGCAAGTTCTTTCACGCTGCTGTGGTTCACATGCTTGAGATGGTGATGATGGTGACTGTCACCTTTCTTGTGTCTATGTTTGGCAGCTTCATCACAGTTATCATCAGATGATTTTCCTAGTGATCGGCTCCTCCTATCATGCTTGTGGCCATGAGAATCCGAAGAATCAACACTGTGTGATCTTCTGTGCTGTTTGCGGAACTTCCTGTGATTTCTCTTTTCCAGAGAGTCATCATCACTAGAGGAATTTGAGTCATTGGACCTGGATCGACGATGACGCTTGTGGTGCTTAGAATGGCTTCTCCTCCGACATTCCTCTTCAGAGTAATCAGAAGAATCAGCGTCTGACCTCTTGTTGCGTTTGTGGTGCCTCTTGTGAGATCTCCTCACAGCAGCATCTTCACCAGAAGAGTAACCAGAACTAGAATCCTCGGATCTTGAACCATTACGAGATTGCCGACTGTGCTTTCTCTGAGAACGCTTCCGTTTCCTTCTGTCTTCATCAGAGCTATCACAATCACCACTGCTGTCATTTGAGTCCGAAGAGCGTCTCTTTGACCTATGCTTAGATTTTTTCTCCCTCTTCTCATCCCCAGAATCAGAATGGGAGTGCTTTCTGTGCTTCTTATGAGATCTTTTTCTGGATTTTCTGTCCCCATGACTGCTGTCAGATTCACTCTCACTCTCATAACCAGATACAGATTTTCTTTTATTCTTTTTTGCCAATTTTGCCTTCCTTTCTCTGGCTTCGGCATCGGCTCTTGCTTTCGCAGCAGCTTCTAGTCTCTGCTGCCATTTGATAGGGGCTTCTTTCCTTTCCATAACTCGCTTCTTCTTCTCCTCGACCAACTGAATGAACTTCTTGGCATCCATTTGGATTCAAAAACCAGCTCAAAAACTGCATTTTGGTATGAAGATGCAGGAAGTACATCTCATAAAGAGAAAAATCCAGGTTAGTTCTTCTATCAACACTTAAGTGCCAGAAAAAAATGAATGGAGGATGTATAAACAAATATACCACCCAGCATATAATCTTTCCAGGAAAAAATAAATGAAGCAGATAAAAACCAAGAGGACACATTGAAATATCATTCAAAAACTTTATTCAAGATCAATAAAAATAACATGCAATAACCTGAAGCATATGTATGTAGAACCGTAGATTACCAAGGCAAAACATGCTTATAAAAGATTGCTGTACTTTTAACCTCATAAGAACCATTCCATCTGAATCGATCTTTACCATATTGTGTAGCAAGATCGAGTGTTTAGTGGAATAATGAATTGAAGAAGGAACAATCAAACACTAATCACGATTGGCCTATTTCCCGCTACACCAAGGAGACAAGAAGTGATATAGCATTCATTGTGTGGGATTTATCTATAGTCTCATGCAACTTGACAAATGCAGCCACTCAAATAACAATATACTTCGTATATAGAAGACAGAGACTAGAACTAAACTATAACTGTCATACAATACTAAATCGTATTCGCATTCAGCTGTCTTCTATCACTTAAAAAAGTAGAACAGAGTAATCAGGCCTTATTATAGCTGTATATTGCAACAGAATTCCACATGTCAATGATAAAAAACGAGTACATAAACCACCAAAATACTTAACATGATTCTCAATATACCCCCTCTAAAATATCACTTTTGAAAACAATCACACCGACAACATAAATTCAGGGAACTCAGCAGGTTGGTCGATAAAGCAATTACACGGTGCATCGAGAAATTGAGAATTATCACCTAATAACAATTGAGATCAATATCATGATTCGTCCAAATTCAATTTTCAAGAATTAAAAAACCAAGAAAATCATCAAGAAATACCGAAGCAATAACACAATCTAATGAGCAACACAAATACAGAATCAATTTACATGCTTTTTATATCAGCAAAAAATATAGTAATAATCAGCATCTACAAGAATCTAGTAGCAGCAAAACCATGGAAGCTCTGAAACGTAATTCTTACCTTGTGCAAGAAGTTTGATTGATCAAGACCCAGATGTCGAACAGAATCCGAAATTGGTATGGTGGAAACCCTAATCAAGAAAGTGAACAAAATTTGAGAATTAACGGAAGCGAACCCTAAATCGCGCAAATAAATAAAGGGGAAAACAGCAATAGCAAACCCTAAAGATTGAGTTGAGTAAAAAAAAGTCAAAGTGTCAAAGAATTGAAGTTACCTGGTGCAAGAAGTAGCAGAATCTGTCTCTTCAAAAAAAAAAAAAAAAAAAAAGTAGCAGAATCTGAAAAGGAGACGACGAAGAGAGAGAGGAAGACGGATGAGGTGGGAGATCTACAGGAAAGAGAGAAAGGAGAATTTCAGAGTTAATATTCTTTTTTGAAAACTAGAGTTAAATATTCTACTTGTGTTATTTCGCGGTCTCCAACAAGCATCTTAAAAGAGTTAAAACGGTTATATCTCCATTTTCACATGTGTAAAAATTATAAAAACTAAATATCAATAAAATGGACAATAAGACGTATTCAACAAAATCTCACGTGATTATATTATCACTCATAGATTAAGAGTAATTTACGGTCAAAGTTTATAAAATTTGACCTGAATTTTTGCAATGGGGCAATAATTTAGGGACAGGGGGAGTACCAACTACAACCTCTCCAGGTTCAAAAGAAAAAGAAAAAAAAAAGTACAACCTCTCTACCATACAAATTAGTATATGGTAATCCTGAAGTACCTAATATTGTACTCCAGACCCAATCTAAATTAATGGGCTAAAAACCCAACTAAAAGAAGTGATTGCGGAATTTCATTTTACGAAATAACAAATAAAGAAAATGAAATAACTTAAATTATACTTCTTCCGTTTTTTTTTTTTTACTTGACCCGCTTTGACTTTTACACTATTCATCACCCTTCTTTTCACCGTCTTTTGTGAAAAATATTTAAGGAAAAACATATTCATGTGAGACCTTTTTAACTTCATCTCAATAAGTAATATCATAATTCATAATATATAACTTTTATAATTTTTATTTATGAAGAATTAAAATTATTGATCGTTAAAGTTTTGCATTAGCAAGCGTGATAAAAAAAACAGGTCAATTAAAAAAGAACAGAGGAAGTATATAAGAAAGATGGACCAAAATTCAAACCATTTTATTTCTCTCTCCACTCACTTTTCTTTTTTCTCTCTCCGTTTGAAATTACAGTTTCTCCATTTGAAATGGAGTGAAAAATCTTCAACTGCATACATTGAAGACAAAATTCCTACACAAGCAAGCCCAAAACTGACATAAATTAATACATGAAGTAAGTTTTTGAATAATTGTAAATTATTTTGCTAATTAGTGTTGAATTTGTATAATTTTTGTATTTTTTTTAAATTTAAAATGCAATTAATACATGGAGATATGATGTAGTAGATGAAGATGAAAAAGGAGAGTGTTAAATGACCAACTCAACCAAAAGCTTAAGCTGATAGTTGAGGCCCAGGAATATGTTTTTATACTCTATCACGCCCCCTCACATGAGAGCCCTTTGGGCTTGAAATGTGGATGCAACATAGGCCCTCCGCATACCCTGCGCGAAATATTCCACTTGAAAGGGGGGGTTGATGAGATTCGAACCCGTGACCTTTGTGTCACGCTAACTTCGATACCATGTTAGAGGACCAACTCAACCAAAAGCTTAAGCTGATGGTTGAAGCGTAGGAATATATTTTATACTCTATCACGCCCCCTTTGATAGAGTATAAAACATATTCCTGGGTCTTAAGCTTTTGGTTAAGTTGGTCCTCTAACATGGTATCAAGAGTCAGCGTGACACAAAGGTCACGGGTTCGAATCTCATCCACCCCTCCTTTCAAAGTGGATTATTAAGCGTATGGTATGAAGAGAGCCCATGATGCATCCACACTTAAAGCCCAACAGGCTCTCGTGTGAGGGGTGTAATAGAGTATAAAACATATTCTTGGGTCTCAACCATCAGTTTAAGTTTTTGGTTGAGTTGGTCCTCTAACATGGTATCAAGAGCTAGCGTGATACAAAGGTCACGGGTTCGAATCTCATCCACCCCTCATTTCAAAGTGGATTATTAAGCGCAGGGTATGAGGAGAGCCCATGCTGCATCCACACTTCAAGCCTAACGGGCTCTTATGTGAGGGGGCGTGATAGGGTATAAAACATATTCCTGGGCCTCAACCATCAATTTAAGCTTTTTGGTTGAGTTGGTCCTCTAACATGGTATCAAGAGCTAGCGTGATACAAAGGTCACGGGTTCGAATCTCATCCACCCCTCCTTTCAAAGTGGATTATTAAGCGCGGGGTATGAGGAGAGCTCATGCTGCATCCACACTTCAAGCCTAACGGGCTCTTATGTGAGGGGGCGTGATAGAGTATAAAACATATTCCCGGGCCTCAACCATCAGTTTAAGTTTTTTGGTTGAGTTGGTCCTCTAACATGGTATCAAGAGCCAGCGGGTTCGAATCTCATCCACCCCTCCTTTCAAAGTGGATTATTAAGCGCAGGGTATGAGGTGGGCCAATGCTGCATCCACACAAGCCCAACGGGCTCTCATGTGAGGGGGCGTGATAGTGTATAAAACATATTCTTGGGCCTCAACCATCAGCTTAAGCTTTTGGTCGAGTTGGTCCTCCAACATGGTATCAAGAGCTAACGCAGGGTATGAGGAGAGCCCATGCTGTATCCACACTTCACGTGTGAGGGGGGCGTGATAAAGTATAAAACAAAAACAAATTTTGCTTCTATATTTTGATTTTAGGCTACTGTTATCTCAAGATGATGTTACTGTTGTTTAGATCTTATGTTATTTTGTGTTTAATCTGTGTTATTTTAGTATTTGGAAATAGTGGAGGTGAATGTTATTTAGTAAATTAAATGAAATTATTCAACTTAAAACCTAATGTTATTTTGCTTCTTAGGCTTCTATTATTCAATTGCATTCTTGTGTTATTTTGTTAAAACCATGTGTTATTTTGTTAAAACCATGTGTTATTTTACAGACACCATATGTTATTTGATAAATATAATTATGTTACTAAATCGCGTTATTTATATTCTTATATTGTGTTACTTTGTATATAACCTTATGTTATTCTTTCAATAATTTAATGTTATTTTGTACATTTAGTTTTATTCTGTTGCTTTTGTTTGTTGTCTTCTTTGCACTTATCTCCTTCTTCAATCTGTCATCATTAATGGCATTCAAATATGCTTTTTAAGTTTCTTTCTCCTTTTTTTTTTCTTTCCCTTTCCCCATCTCAATTTACTGATTTAGGGTTTTATAATCCCTAATTTTTATCGAACTTTCTCTCTCCTGTTCCCCATTTATGCATATTTGTCTTTTGTCTTTTAATAACTTTGTTGTTTTAATCCCGGAGTACCGTGAGCATGGTACTCCGAGAGGATAGAAATTGCTCTAACGTACTACTCCCTTCGTTTTAAAATACTTGCTCCATTTCTACTTATTGCACTATTCATTTGTCCTACTTTGACTAATGTTTGTGATTTATAAGAAAAAAATATAATCTTGTGAGTACTTGTTGGAATCGTTTCAATGAATAAATTAGTAGTTTTAATTGTTAGAATTTATACTTATTGATAATTAAAGATATTATTGATTAAAGAATAGCATCGACATACGTGTCTTAGAGAAATGGAGCAAGTATTTAAAAATGGAGGGAGTAACTAGGAATATCGTGAGATGTCACAAACTAACCTAATCGGAAAAAAAGAAATCTACTTGAGGGAATTCAAGTTGTTTCTCTAGTGGCACTTTTGTGAATAATAAGCATATAAAGATTCGTGTGTTTTGTTTTATTTAATAGTTTTTGCTTACTGTGTTAGATAAAAAGTTTAACAACTGACGCGTACGGATTTTTCACGTCGTTTGACGGGGACGAAGTTGATGTAGAAATGTTTTTTTTTTTACAAAGAATAACTTTCACCGCATTTATGGATAGGCACGCCTTGTCAACGCTAACCAAACATTCACGGACATTACCAAGACCATATTGAAGGGTGACGAATGGTGTTACCATCAAGGCTACGTTAAGTTAATGGCTATTTAGGCCAAATATAGAAAGTTACATTTCTATCCCGGACTTAGAATTGAAAAGGACTTATGGGCTGTCATGAAAAAACATTTTTTTTTTTTTTGAAGGATCATGAAAAACATATTTTGTTTCTCATGTTGAGTAACTTGTATTTTCCTAATCTATTATATCTAACACAAGAAAATTGTTTTAGCTCTTCTAGTTTACAGTGCATATTCCAAGAGCAAACAATCACTATGCTATGTGAGTGATGCCGGCCAAATCTGTCTCCTACTACATCATCTGGCTGGTACATTTGATCATTGATGTTTACTGGCGTATGAGTTCTAGGTTGCTCGATTGCTTGTTATTCCTCCTCCTAGCTAGCGCCCTCCACCTCTCTTCGACTTCGATAGCAGGATAACATGTGATATGATAATGTGCTGGATGATGTAAGGCCTTGAGTTCTGGTACTATCCTTTTTTCATAATTGGAGAAAATAGATATGCATTCTTGCCTTCCAAGTTACCTTACAGGATCGTAGCAGACACCTTTGGCACCCATTTTTGCATCATCTGTCATATATTAGAAATAGCTCTATTGTCTATTCTCATGTATGTTTCCACTTTGCTTATTAATCATCAACTTTCTACTTGGGTGAGGTTTAGTGATATCCATTTCCATCAGCAATCTAGCAAATCAGACTCCTAAGTCATCGAGTACGTTCTCTGTAAATGATGGTATTCCCAGAATAGTTCCAATTCATCATAGAATTTGCACTGAAACAATTAAGTGGAAGAGTAGGCAAACTAATCCACAATGGAATAACTCTAAGAACCTCATGGAAATTAAAATTTGCTGACCAAGCTTCACAATCATAGGCATGCCACAATGGAATATATTAGAGCCTTCTCACAGAATATAACACTTGCAACAAATCTTAGCACTACCCCAATACTAGGCGTGTCTTTGACAATAAATCACCATTGCAGTAGCTCATTGTTCAGACAATATATCAACCTCTACTTTGTCTAATTGAGCCATTTACTCGTCACTTTTGATCGTAGAGGGGGAAATCAAGAGTTATTCTTTAGCTGCACGATTAGCAGTTGAGCACCAGCGACAAGATCTGAACAATAGGTTGTATCATTTCATCCTTGCCCCATTTGCTACAGCTCAAAAGCATCGATGATTTGAGTTTGCTGCTGTAATATTTGCTACCCCAACACTTGTTCCTCCTGTATTTGGCGTCCTACCTCCAGAACCTGTATTATGAGGTTGCTCTATCACCATCAGGCAGTCTCATAATGATCTCATAACACACAATAATTGCTCTTATGACTTCAGAATCTACAGGAATAGCACTCGGATACGGAGATACAACAACCAAGGTTGATATACTGTTCCGTTGCACAATTGTGAGCTAGGTTGAGAAATTTTGTTCAAATATCACCATCTGCCAAGTATCTTTTACTTGACAAGCTTGAGCATGTCATGAAGATCCTCAACCTGAAGCTGAACCAGCCATGCCATAGACTTCTTCTTCCCCGTATGATTGTTGGAAGCAGGTTAGCAAGAGACCTAACCATGCGCCCCATATCGCCATGAGAAAAATTTATTTCTTCTAATAACTTTCAAGAGCAAGTGTTGTACAAATCTTAACTGGTCTTTTGTCGCATGTAAAAGCAACATTTACTTGAGCAAAAGTTGAGACACAGGTAACTGCCTGCTCACTAAATCTGCAGCACAAAGCAAGGATTTCAATCATAAAGCATCTTTTGAGCAATACACTAGATTATTAGGGTCAAATTTGTTCCATATATTCAGTTCAAGAGTTCTTACATCTTAATCTCTAACAAAATTGGTATACGCAATACTAGCAAATATTACTGCAATAAACAATTATATAAGTTCTTCATTCATTAACTTTACAGAGGAGACATTGATCAACATTCTTCATCTCGATTCCATCTTGATTTGTGATTCAATTGCATTTGATTGTGCATGAAGCATCTATCTTATAGAGCATAATTTTCTAGAATATCTGCTTTGACTGCACATCTTTCATTTTTGGGTAACTAGCTTCTCACATCTCCACATGAGCAGGCCTCAGCATGTAAGAAATTACAGCGACATATTCTCGGAGGCTCCAAAATGTAGTGTCATCCTTTGCTGATAAGACATCACATTTCTGATTAGTCGTGCAGAAGTTGCTCATTGGTTAGCCAAGTTGGCAAAAACTAGTCCATCTTCAGAAATTCACTTCTTCCATCCCAAAGCTTTGAGGTCGTTTTCTTTCAGTTCAACATATTTACCAAGCCTACAATAGACAACAAACTAAGAACATCACATATCTATTTTAATATAAACAGAGTAATTTAAACAAGTTTCTACTCTTGCAAAGCATCATATTAAACATCCGAAAGACATCTACCTGCTTTTCGGTGAAAAATAAAAATAACACTTCCTCCGTTCCTTTAATATTGCAGCATTTACCCCTTGAGGAAGTTTCATAAATATAGCAACACACCCATGTAGGAAACAACTTTCTCCTTTTCACTACAATACCCAATATACTCTTATTTCTTAATAATTGCTGTAGTTAATGCTTGCAATCACATAGACAAGTTTTTCCCTCTCTTCCTCTTTTCCCAATACCTAAAATCTTATGCACTCTTCCCACGTTGCAATATATAAGGAATGGATGAAGTACAATGTATTCATCAAGCATCACTGTTATTAAATAAATAAAAATAGAAGTGCATCTAAATTCCATTTGCTAGAAAAAGGCAAGTAAAGTGCAGCTATACAAATACCTACTACTTTATATGAAGGCTAAAGAGATAAGGCCAGAGACATAAGGAGAACTTCTACTTTATCTGAAGGCCAAACACATAAGTAACCATGCTAAAGGATCCAAAACTTTAGACATACCAAATTCACTTGTCATGCATAATCAATCTATTAATCCAAGGATTGCTCATATTTTCATAGTTACTCATGTTTAAACTTGCATTAACAGAAAAATTACAAAAACTACTGAACTACTTTTTCTTTCCTAAATTTTGCACAAGTTAGGTATCCACACATATCCTTATTCCCCTAATAGAAAACTTCTGATTTTCAAGGCTATTGAAAAGACTAGTAATGTAGTCCAGTCCACTGGACCCAATGACCAAAAATAGCAACCACAATCAGGGTTTGATGTTTTTTGCAAGTGGCATTTGAAACAGATTCCATTTAAAGCTTCATAACTTACTAGAATTTGTATTTCTCAATTATTAGTGCTAAATCACACTTCAAATCTACTGGTACTCATTCATCAAAAAGTTAATGTTAGATTTTACACCTTATCCCTTATTGTGCCTTTGGTGTGATGCTTTCTAATGAGAGAGGGAAAAATAGTTAGTGGCTAGATTTGGACACTGATAATTCAGAAAAATAATTAGTAGTAGTGAAAATTAGATTTTACTTTATAGGGACATCCCAATAGGGTATATGGAGTAAACATTTAGGATTGGAAGGAGTCTTGTCTATCTTAAGTGTTAGCTTGGGTTCTACAAGTATGTTTCATTTGACGAAAATAATTTTTGGCATCCTTCTCAATTATAAGACATACCTCCCAATCGCACCCATTTGCAATTAAAATGTTTTTGTGGTTCAAGCATAGCCTTCAATGCTACACTACCAAAGTACCAAAAAAGGTTTTCCCTAGCATAAGAATATCTATTACAGTGAAATGCTTTTGTGGTTCAAGCATAACCTCCCATGCAACGCTACCAAAGAACCAAGAAAAGTTTTTCCCTAGTATAAGGATATCTATTAGAGTGAATTACCTAGAAGCATTTTGCTGATTTCTCCTACTTCTGCCATAAGAATACCAGCAACCTTATAGTGAAGTTAGCACATGACCATTTTACATCAGCATAACAATCTGGTCTCTATAAATCCAAGATCATTAGTCACATGATCATCCTCCCACTAGCTACTATAAAGAGATAAGGTGTTACAAGGGATGTTGATACAGCAAACTAATTATTCCCCTCTATGCGCTCCCCCCCTCCCCCCAACCACCACCAAAACACACACACACACACACACACAAAGATGCACACATTATTCTCTTATCAGTCGAATAGACATGCAAATGCTAAATACTACACATTGAAGGGGCATTTAATATAAATGATGCACTCAGCCACATTTTACAATGAATGAGATATATTAAGGACAACTAAAACATGACCACGTGAACATAAAGATACATAAGGTTATCCTCCAGAATGTGGAACTTAATCAAAATATCTAGACAAGTGAAAACAAGGAAAATAAAAATTATTAAATTACCCAAGGTCAGAGGAAAGCTTGAAACCACCAATACGTACACGTTTTAGGGAATGGATCTGTATGAGAAAGGAAGGAAAATTAGTTGAAATTGACGCATGTGTCACACACTAACACACATAATAAAATCAGATGCTGCCATTTCTTTTGTGCAGTCAACTAGCAATATGAGAACTTATTGAGAAGGGAACTTTTTAAATTTGTTTTCCTAGAGAATAGACATCAACCATCAATTTCACCATCAATATACTTTAACATGATGAGCCATCAAAGTATTCCTGCATAATTATAGTACAATTGCAATTTTATCAATGCAAAATGTGCAAACCTCAACTTATCATCCAAATATTACACTATACATTCATGCTAATGAAGTCAAGCTAACCTACTACGTAATCCCTTTGTTTTAATACGTTAGTTTGTTACAGATTGTCCCAAAGTTAGTGGTTTGGCTCCATATCAATGGTTTGACCAAATCCAACACCTCATGTGGGTGTTTGGTAACTAGCGGTTAGCATCCAGCCTGCTATATAAAAAAATGCTGATAGAGGCAGCGTTTTGGATTGAGAAAGTTGGAAATATGTTGTTTATTTCATTTAGGCTCTGTATAACTTAATTTCCAATTGAGTGGAGCCTCAGTCAAGAACAGGCTAAACAACCAAAAAAAAAAAAAAAATCATCTTCTAAAATCTCAATTAATAATAACAATAATACGTAGTAATAAAGAAATAAGAAAGAAGTAAAATTCGACAAAGTAGAAGAATAATACTAATAAAAAAGAGTAATAGAGAATAATGGCAACCAACCAAAATAAGTGAATCCTCAATCAGTTGCATCCATGATAGATGTTATACTATTTTAAGTTTTAGTTCTAGGGAGAAAGTTTAATCAACTCTCTACCAAGAAATAAAACACAAAATTTCAAAATTTGGATAAATATTGAGAATAATAACTAATGATTCTTCTTGCATGTAAATAAAGTCTATGGAAGAAGAATTGTAGTAAGAAGTCCATGGAAATTTGATAAATTGGCTTTAAGTACTGGGGAGATAAGACTGAAGCAAAGAATCCAGGGAAATTTGATAATGTGGCTTTGAGAATTGGGGAAGATGAGACTGAAAAGGGGAAAGTGCCATAAAAAGTTCAGTACTTTGTATATATGTCTCATAACAAAGTATAATCTGTAAGGCGCAGCGTTAGTGACTTGAAGAAGGAAATACAAATAACAAATGTTTACTATCAAGCCAAAAAGAGGAAAACAACCTCAAGTCCAGCTTTTTTCACCAGTTCTCGAACCTCATGGTTTCTTCCCTCATTAACCTATCAATACAACAATGGCAGTAAGCTATCAGATGCTCAGTTACCCAACTAGATACAAAGCAATGAAAGCATCAAATAATTATACTCCATAAGTACCCTTGGGGAACGATTATTGTATCAATATTAGTCCCCTCAGCTCCAATAGTCATAGCATAGAAATACAATTTCAATACTTCAAAAAGGGAAAAAAAACACACACACATTTTCTTTGTATTTTAAAGTGAGTTAAATCTGACATCATCTGTTCTATTCAGTCACAAAATTAAAAAAGGCAATATAAAATATTTACTGCTTTCCAGATTTACAAGACACAAGAGCATTAATTGACTTTGCTCAACCAATTGCAATGACACCCATCCAGCTTGTCTACAAAAGAAGCATATAAAGCATGAATTATCTTTCTATACAGATTTATGGATTTACCACCTATACATTACATCCAACCGGTGCCAATTAAGCCACAAGAAAAAAATGTCCCAAAGAGCATAAGCCCTTTGTGTGGTCAGTTTGTTTGTAGAGGCTCCAAAACTATGGCAAACTTAGATCCAGCATCAAATAGGTGAGTCTCCTCAAACATGTGTGCTCAGAATAAAAAAGCTGAAGAATATAATTTTCATGCATACTGTGAGATGGCAACTATTATTTGAAGCCGGCTGTTTAAAGTCATCAAGATAGGAGTGCTCACCCTATGCTTTGTCGCATCTGTAGGTTAGCAATGTGCAAGTATGAAGGAATAAAGGAAGGAGGTTTACACAAAGAGCACACTTGTTTAGCCTTTAGTTTTAATCGTTGAACATAATTCCAGAATTTACCAGTTTCCACACTATCCAAACAGTGTGGGACTTCTCTTTACTGTCTTCAGAATGACTAAGACACCTTTGTTTTTCATTAAAAAAATTGATAAAATTTCTTTTATCAAAATATGAAGCTAAAAATTTCTACTACCCTCAAAGAATCACCTAGAGATAATGACAGAGAACTATTTAACTAAAGAAACTGAGAACGATACCAGCCTTTTATTCATCTTATCTTAAGATTAAAAATCTTATAAAGAGATTAGTCCATTGCAAGTCACCTATACAATTAATGTACAATACTATGACGCTTACCACAATACGCAGACGAGATCTGAGAATATCTGGCTGTCAAGGCAAGAGTTCTACATATTCAGGCGTACAATGCACACCATTAATGGTTGTTCCTTGGATAATGGCCAGTAAGTGTCGTTTATGAACTTCACCATTAACAGTGGCAATGTATCTTCAAATGCAAAGAAAATTCTATCACCATTCATAGATTACATAGAATATACTTTGCAATACAGCAATGTTGTGATGAGTGATGAATCAGTTAAATTATAAGTACCAGAATTCTTCACAAGCCACCAACAAATCAAATCATGTTCTCACGGATAAAGATTTTCTTAATTTTGTAAGTACATCAGGATTTGGAGATAATTACGAAATGCAAATAAAAGAAATGCACCAAACTAAGACAGAATAGGGGCACAATATCAGTATAGCATGCATTCAAAAGACCTTGTGACAGGCACCAAGCCTAGAGTAATCAACAGATACAAGCGGAATATTAAGAGCATGGTTTGAAAATATGGTTTTGGTAGCCATCACTGGAACAGCCACACAATGCTTAGATTAAGGAAATGATGCATTGATCATGGATTGTGTTGCAGTTATCGCGAAGCGAATTTGATTTAAATGGTCACTCTTTTTCTTGTGATGCTCTATCTTGAAAGGGACTATGTTTTCTAACTTGGCAATTTGTGATGCTCCCTTCAAGATAATTTAAAAAATCAAAGAGATAGCTAAGTTAGAAAACATAGTCCCTTTCAAACTATGATGCTCAAACTCTGCTAGCCGTGTTTGAAATTGGTACGTGTCCAACTTGGCAATTTTGTGAAAAATCTCAGTGATTTGGCCCAAAATGAAGTGTTAAAGTGACTTATCCATGTCTGAGTGTCAAGGATCCAACACGATTACTTGAGGTAAAGTGACGAGTAAGAGATGTAGCTTTCAAGTATAGCACAATTATGACTCCAACTGGTTACATCTTTCTTAAGAAAGAAGACACAGAAGTGAGGATTGCAAAGACATCTCTAGAGAGTGTCTCAAATAACAATACAAGCTACTAATTATACTGGATGTCAGCTTGAATGAAGTGTTGATAATATGTCAAAATTAGACGATGAAATTTTGTAGAGGGGAACTCAACCAATGAGCGAGGATGTTACATAGCAATATGCAAATGCAATTTCACAAAGGCCTATGAGGGATTAATGGCTATAAGCCTATAACCAAGTACCAACAAAAATGATGCATAGGTGTTAAAGGCAAAGGCAAATCCTATCAGTATGAACGAATTATCAAGGATATGCATGAAAGTGCAAGTAATCAAATAGAACACTAAGAGGGGATGGTGTTTTATGCTATAAATATAAGAATTCATAAGTACGTGTTTTGAGTCCATTTCTTTTTGCCTTTGTTATAAATGAGCGTTCTAAAAAAAATTGGGGAATTTCCATGGTGTGTCTGTCTGCCTTTTGTTATGAACACAGGATTTCATCAGGTATGTACTTTCAGTCCATTGTTCTTTAAATGATCTTTTTTAAAATATTTGAAGAAAAATTACACAGTATAATGTATTTGCTGCTTAAATAGGCAGCATGATTTTATGTTTGAAAAGGCATAATAAGCTTCTAGCCTGCTACTGCTTCACAGGCAACATAAGTTGCTAGTAATCCAGTGCCAATTTGAGTTCAATGATAATAACTAAGTGGGATCAACCATAAAAATTTGAAAAGAAAGTTAATTCAGATTTCTGATGCTTCTACATACAAACTCATAACACAAACTAATTGTATTTAGAAAGTGGACATCTAAAATATATAATGTTAACTTCCAAATGGAGAGTAATGAAGAACTACTTACTCCTTCGTTAAATTAGAAGATGGATGTGATACTCTTTGAGCAAAGTCACCTGGGTAGAAGAAGCAAATAGCTATAACAAAATCTACTAGATTCGAGGACATACTTAATATTTTAAAAATTGAAAGCTATACAAAGTACAGCAGTTACCATCATTAGTTATAATAATTAGTCCAGTTGTTGCAACATCTAGGCGCCCAACAGTAAAAAGCCGTGGCTTTGGCTCTCCAGGATTCTTTTTGTCCTAGAAGAATATATATTAATTGATTTTAATAAAAGAGATAATATGCATTTGAAACATGACAAGATTTCAAAAAACAGAGACCACAAACAGAGATATTTGAGGGGCTTAAGATTGGAGTCAACAATGCGCATACCCAACTCTTCAGAAAATCAGCACACAAGGATAAAATAGATTTGGGCTCTTTCTCACCAGAAGAGCATATGTATCTGCAATGATATAATCATATTAAGCAGGAATGTAAATCATTTTGGGGAACTAAGTTGAGAAAAACTCTGACAGAAGACATGCACAAGACAGTAAGAATTTTCCTTTCTTTAATCACAACTTTGAGAATGGACTCAATGGAGTAGAGTTGGTGAGTGTCTGACCCTTTAGGTTTATTGAGAGCAAGATACACCTTTGATGGCAACTTTTTAGGTAGGCGGTTTCCCTTGACATAAATAATATCCTTGGCAGGATCAACTTTTGTCTGTGCATCACCACTAGTTAGTTAAAATTGCAAATTCAACAAAACAATTCACTGATGGAAAGTGAAACAATAATCATGGAAGAAGCAAGTCAAATCTGTGACACAAGATATACAGACACCCTAGCAAAAAATTAGAAGCAATAACTTATAAAGCATAGCACACCTAAATTATGTGAATATAAAGAGCAGTTAACCTGAGGTGTATCGCAGACAGAACCGTTGACAGTCACCTTTCCCTGAAATATGAGCTCCTCACTGCTTCTCCTTGATGCCACTAAGAAGAGAGATGCAAACTTAGAACAAACATAAGACACATGCCACCGACTAGCAATTGGCTGTAGAACAAAATTCCAGTAATTCATTCTACCCTAAAATGACAGCTTCCCCCTCTCACATTAATTTTTTCTTCTCTGTAATTTTTTAATCTATTATTCAATCTAACTACCATTTACCTCATGTCCTGATAACAGCCTATATATATGATTGGTTATCAACTTGGTTGGCTGCAAATTAAGACTCAAAAAGACCTACAATCTTATCTTATCACAATGCAACACAAAGCATTTGTTGGGTCTGCATTGAGATTGAACTAATTCAGGTAGGTGCAGCAAGTATATAATGTGGAAAATTGTGGGAATAACCACCAACCTATCATGACCTAATTCAGCTGTATTGAGGAAAATGTGAGAATGTTTTCCGTTAAACACAATCAGTAAATAATATAAGCAGAACCAAGGCACAAAGAGATCATCCAATGAGACCCATAACCTGTCAATCTCATACAATCAGGGGGGAAAAAATCCCTCCACAACATGATGGCCAGTCTAGCAAACAACCAAAAATCAATCACAACTCACAAAGCCAATGAATAAATTTCCAAAAACCCCAATTCGTCGGATGAAGTACCACATGGTATGCTGTGTAATACTGTAATTTGCATATAATGATCCCCATGAAAGTGTTGCAGCTGTTGCTATCTTAAGGTAACACAGGAAGTCAGTGGATGCCCTGCATACTACTGAAATGTAGAGTGACTCCAGACTATGTTGCCCTGCATACTACTGAAAATTACAGTGACTTCAATGCTATATTTTGCTTCTGGTCTTTATACTTTCTACATTTCACTAAAACTGCAACACTTTGACTTATGCACAATTTCACTCTGCTTTGACTAACTTTTACGATTTATGGTTATGTAAAGATATAGGCATGTGGGATCTTGTTAGATTCACCTCGATTTTTTTTGATGATATCAAATTTTATAATTTTAACTTTTTGAAAATTAAAGATATTAAAATAATGCATTGGTGAGCGTGAAATGAGAATCATTGCAATTTTAGTAGAACGGATGAAGTATATTTCTATATATTACCTATTCATAAACCGCTCGATTGGTAGTTTGACCACAAAAACCCAAGCGATACAAAGACAATGAAGCATATCCATACAAGTGATTTCATATTAAGGGATGAAGAAGGTAAGAACAATGAAGAGCTGGTGACTTGAAGGTCACTTAGAAACTAATAAAAAATTTTAAACCATCAAACAATGAAAGCTAAAACTTGAGTTATGATAACTCAATGAAGAGAAGTGGCAGCAGTAATGGAAAATTACTTTACCCAGAAAATCACCTGCCTCGGTTAGCTAGCCAGCAGCTCATCAGCACACAGGCACCATATTAAGCTAGCTTCTTAAAGCAAGAAGACAATTTGATCCTAGATCTTTGTCACAATCATAAGAAGTCGAGTAAATTGATAATTGAAGTGCGTGGTGGGACATGTGCAGGGTCCTTGATTGAAATGGGAGTAGATTATCTCAAAACGCGTTTGCTGTGTCTCACATGAAAACTTTGTACGTAAAAAAGATGGTGTTATAGTGAATACTATGTTCTATTCAATAATTTTGCTAAATCAAAAATTTTAAGCTTAACTAATACTTCCTCCATTTTTATTTAGATGACTAACATTCCTAAAATGAAAATGTCACAATACTTGACAGGAAACTCTTTTTTATAATCACAAATCACCCACAATTAACCAACCTCATACCCATCCTAATGAACTAATCTCTAAATAATCAGCCCAACTCAAAACTACCATCCCTATAACCCAACAACATTCTTCCTACTAAGCCACCACCACCCTTATTGAACCACCACGGAAAGCACCACTCCGATATAACTAACCACCACCCAATCAACCTTGTCTAACGAACCACCACCAAAAGCACCGCCCCAACTTTTCAAATCACCACCGAACCACCCTTTCTTTCCTCGCTGGATGACCACCCCAGCCACTATACCACCACCACCACAACCATCTTTACCCTTAACTCTATTATCTCTCTCCTCAACCCTTTTCCTTCCTCAACCACTAGATCTGTAACCCACCCACCAACACTCTCAAGTCCCGCCTCCAATTGTCGTCGTTATCGCACACACCACTGCCATCATTGTTGTTTTAGAGAAAGAAATCTAAAGGCAAAACAAACGAGGAAGAAAATCAGATCTGCAAAACTGCATATACTTAGCAGTGGTTTGATTTCTTAATCTTCTTTCTCCTCTTCTCGAAAATTCAAAAGCCCATTTTTATGGTGGTAGCTTAGTGTGGTACGGTGGTGGTTTGGATGTGAGGGTAGGGTGATAGTAGTCGGATGCGGTTTGGTGGTTTAGATGAGGGCGATGGTTCTTGTATTTTAAATGAGGACGGCGGCATCGGTGGTGTTTTAAATTAGGAAGGCAGCGACGACGGTGGTTCGGATGGGCAGGAGATAAGAAGGTGGTGTCGGTGATGGACAGGTGAGGATTGGCAGCAGATGAAATGAGATGTTGGTTAGATGAATAAATTTAAGCATTTAGTTAATATCTTTTTTAAATAATCAATGTAACTAATACACACTCTCTCTCCTCTTCCTTATAAACTATGCCAAAAGCTATAGGTCATTTAAATAGAAACGCAGGAAATATTAATTTTGCTGAATATAGCATTACTTGTTTCAACTTTCAAGCTTTCTTTTTCTTTATTTTTGGGCTTGCTTTAATTTTCTCAAAACTTATTGTGTAAGTAACAGAAAACATGTAAGAAATAGTGCAGGAAATCTGAAAAGCAAAGAGACAAAGTGCAAACTTATGGCCAAATCATATTGATTTGGCGTTTTGTGAAGGATTTTCACTCTGGGGCGCTTCAAACACACAATCTCATCCAAATCAAACAGGAATGTTACATCCCTTGTTTCATTCAAAAGTCACTCTTTGAAAGATTCCCTATGTCCCCTAATAATGGCAAAAATACTCTATTAGAGTAGAATTAAAATAAAATCCTGTAGAGACTCGATAATCAAGATCGTATCTTTGAACCATGCATAAAACCCGGCAAAGAGATTTTAATGATATATATTAAGGTATTAACTCTTTTACGTAGGTGAATAGTTATGACATAGCCATTTCACTTTAACATAGACAACAAAGATGAAGGGTCTTGTTGCTTAAGATGTGATTATGAGGTTCAGTTGAGAGTGGTGAAAATTAGAGAAGTCAGATGTATGACACCTACAATGAAATTGAAAGAAATATTTTAGAGAGGATTATTAGCACTTAGATTGACATTTAAATTATATATATATATATATATATATATATATATATATATATATATATATATATATATATATATATATATATATATATATATATATATATATATATAGATTAGGTGTAGGCACTAGAACTATTGAAAAAGGATTAAGAAGCCAAGGGCAATGTGATGAAAGGAAAGGAAATGGCCTGTGAACTTTAGTTTGGGCTAAAATAATTTTATGAACTTTAGCATTCTACATGTCCATGAGAATGCAAATAAATAAATAAATAATAAAATAAAATAAATTCAAATAAGCTCCCTTAATCCACGATTAAAGTCATCTACACATTAGAGGTATTAAAGTTTAAAAAAAAAAAAAATTGCTTTACTCTTAAAGCCTTAAGCGACAGTGATATACTAATCTCATTTTTGGACTTGATACCTTATGATACCATAAATTTTTTTTAGAAACTCAAAGACTGCATATGAATGATATTTACTAGCTATCCTATTCACTCAAGGCCTAAGAATATTCTGTGCTCCATCACAGATATTGTTGTTATTCCACATAATGATACAAGTACATAGATAACTGTTTTAACCTAGTAACCTACTACCTAATACCTGTCGCATGTCACAACTTTGAGGAAAGAATTTCTTAGCCCCTTTAAAGATAATAAAACCTTCATCAAATGGCAAGTCAAAATTCACTAAAAGAACCATTAAGTGTACCAAAAGCTAGTGGTGAGAAAATAGATTGTTTAAGCCTAAGATGATGTTTTGAATTGGCATATGAGATTTAGGGAACATGTATAGCAAGGACTTTTTATCATCTATGGTGCACGAAAAATGTTTTCCATACTTATGTCACCTTACAAGTCATGGGTTAAAAGGAACCAAAATAAAAGCTAGGACTCAAGATTTCAACCTTTCTAATTGTCAAATTGAGCAATTGCATGGTCTCCACTTATATAATAAAACGAATAGAGTATAACACTCAACCCAATCCATCCTTAACAGAGTTGTCGATCCTTAAAGAAAAACAACAATTTCTTATAGGTAGAACGAAACACTATTGATAGCGGCTGACGGCCGGTAATGAAAGATAATGAAGAAGATTAAAGTTTGGGCCTTTTGGAATGGAGGGAGACTAGTTAGATGATGGGCATGCTTTATAATTATAATTTATTTTTTCTTACATATTTTTAAAATACTTTCAATCCTAAATTCACTGGAAAAATAAACGACACTAGGTGTTGATAATTTTATGCAGACTAAAAAACCTTAATGATCATCACTAAAAAACATTTAATGATTACTTCCCTAGTTCCTAATTATAGAAAATATAAATCTCACTTCGCCATTTCTACTTTTGCTTTCATTTCCACATATGTACCATTTTCAACTTACATAGTAATGAGGTTGTTGATTAAGTAGATCTGCCACTTTCAGATGCGTAAATCTCCATAAACTTGGAGACAAAACGCTTCACTACGGGCAAAAAAACTTCATCATGCCTAAGCCTAAGCCTAACTATTATGTACTCAATTATTTATGATCCAAATCTTTCTTGAAGTTCCTTAAAGCATCCACTACATAGAATGTCAAATGATGAGTGGAACCCAATGCCTAAGCTTTTTCTTTTTTTTTTTTTTTTACTTCAATTCCATGACATCTAAAATGAATAGCCACTAAAAACCAATGCATTATATTGCTATCCTATAAGCAGAAAACAACAAGACTAAAATTCTAACAAGCTCCTTTTTTCCCACCATCCCTGATTCCACTTTAATTTTCACATAAAGTTCAACTAAAGCAAAGTCTCATTAGTTGACAACTACTACACAAATTACTGTTTGGTCGACCAATCTATAAATGATTTTGGATTTTTCATTCCGAGACAAAACTTTTCTAAAGTATACCAGTACTTGGTGCATAAACACGAGCATAATGCTACTGGTACAGTGTACATTGTTTGCTAGTATAAGGACATCTAAATTCATTATCTACCTTCCTTAAAATTAACCTTCACTATAGCTCATGACGCTTGTCCTGCCATGCCTATCGGCATTAGTAGGAATTAAAAACATTGTTCTCAAACTCTTCAGTTCTCTTCGGGTATCAATGTCAATTCCTCCACATAGGTTTGAACAATTGGACACTTCAATTTAAACCAAAACATGGAGAAATAGCTGAATGTTATTCGCTTGGACACAAACGCATGTCACCCACATAACAAAAATGCATTGGCTTACAAGGACTAGCTATGTAATGATGACCGAGTGATATGGAAACTCGAATAGCAAAAACTAAGAACATGAAGCTTTTACTCTAACACTTTGTTAAGTATGCTACTCCGCATAATTCTCTCAATTTAGAGCAAAGCACAGAATACGAAAAAGACTACGACATTCCCAATAGTAGGTTCATATTCATTCAAAGGGTCGACAAATCAACAATCACTCTCACATTACATCCAACAATCTATAGCTTTTGGTTCTTCCACCATTTATGCAATCGGCCCCAAATTTAATTGAATTCCACCTAACAATCAAATTATTCAATCAAATTTTCCCAACTTAAAGTAATTAGCCTAAAATGGAGCAGTTTTCAGAAAAATTCACAACAAGCTAGTCAAAAAATTATTATAATCAATCATAATTTTACATGAATTTCAACATGTTGATCCAATTCACAGTTGATCATAAAAATTATAAACAAATTCACATTTGAAAGTAATAAATTTCTCTCACCTCCTGCAGCAGCAAGTACCTTAGCAAGACGCTGAGGCTTCTCCCCAAACTTCTCATTGTAAAACCTACGAGCAGCTTTCGAATAACGAGGCTCTTCAACCATCTTTTTCTTCGTCGTCTTCACCACAACCGCCTTCTTCTGCTTTCCGCCTTCGGCAACCGATTGAAATGAGCGCGTCGTGGGAAGTGCGTGGAGAATCCGTGGTGCGGAAAGCTTGGGGGAGGACAACAATGGCGGATTGTCTTCGATAGAAGAAGGGAAGGAAGTGAGAGAAATGCGAAGGCGAGGAGAGAGAGAGTGGAGGTAGGTGCGGTGGATGGAGAGGAATGATGGTCGAGTGAAGTGGAGGGTTGAAATTGCTAGCGTTGTTGAAGCGGTGGTGATGGTAATGGCCGCCATTGATGGTGGCTAGTGATGGAGGTGGTGGGTTTTGGATAGGAGAGTGGAACTGCGGGCTGCAGAGGGAATTAAAAAGGAAGGGAAATAATAAATTCAGGTAGCATTTTGCCTAAATGCTGAATAACATAATTTTTTTAAGAAAATTATATCGGCAATAAATTGTCACCGAGCACTTAAAAAATTCATGAAATGTCATCGTATCTTTCAGATTTCACCAAATGTCACTAACAAACAGTAAAATGTCATGCCATACCATTAATGAGGTATTTCCGTTAGTTAGTCATCAGTGTCCGTTAGTTGACCGCTAGTTGACCCTACCACTTGCCACGTGTTACCTTCTAATTGGTCCGTTTAAAAAAAATAATTAAACAAAAATTATAAAAAAAAAACCAAAAATATTTTAAAATAATAATAATAATAATTAAAAAATAAAAATAAAAAAACCACCAAATCCCCACCCACCACCCCTTCTACCACCCTCACCGGCAAGCCGCCCACCCAACCCTAAACCCCTCCCTGCCGCTGAAGACCGAAGCCCCTGCCGCCGGCGACCCCGTCCCTTCCTCATTCCCTCTCTGTCATCTTTCCACCACCATACACATTGCTGCTGCCTCCACTCACCACCAAACAACTCCCCTACCACACCTGCAACCCCAACAACAACATTCAACATCAATAGAACCTCCACCTGACCACCTCCCTGCCATCACCAATCATAGCCCCACGCAACCAATTTCCCTTCTCCCTCGCATCTCCAGCCGCACCGCTGCTGCCACCATACATACCGCAACAATTACCAGCAACAGCCCACCAATTCCAGCCCTTTGCCGCCGAACACCGCCCAAATTACCACCCACGCAACTCTACTTCGCACCACCTCCCAACTCACCCACACAAAGTCACAAACCGCACATCCTCCAATTCGCCACCACACGACACCAGCTACAAACCAAATTACGAGCAGCAATCAAAGCAGTAACCTTAGGCAGCTGTTGCGTGGTGTCTTCGCCGGCGCGCAAACCTGGGTTCAATTAAAGGGTGGGATTTCGCGTGGTAGCCGTGGTTTCGCGACGAGAAAGAGGAGGGGAGGGGAAGGGCTTGCTTCGGCGACCGCCGGCGCGCCTTCCGGTGAGGGGGTGCAGGTCGCCGGCGGCAGCAGGGAGCGGGTGGTGGAAGGGGTGGTGGCTGGGGTGGTTTCAAGGGTTTTTTGTTTTTTTTTTTCATTTTTTTATTTTTTTTGGTTTTTTTTATTTATTTTTTTAAATATTTTTTTTAAAAACGAACCAATCAGAAGGTGACACGTGGCAAGTGGTGGGGTCAACTAACGGTCAACTAACGGATACTGACAGCCAACTAACGGAAATACCTCATTAATGGCATGGCATGACATTTTACTGTTTGTCAGTGGCATTTGGTGAATTCTGGAAAACACGATGGCATTTCATGAATTTTTTAAGTGGTCAGTGGCATTTCATGAAATTGCCGAAATTATATTTCAATTTTAACCTTGCTTTAATTTAAACCCTTTCCACTCCTAACTATAAAATCATCCTTATTAGTTCCAAATAGAAATATAATCATAGGCTTTTTTTGTTGCCTCTAAGGTTTCTCACTTGGGACGGTTTTTCTAACCTCCATTGCTAGATTTTTTTGGCTTTTTTGAAGGTTTTCCTTCACTCTTCTCCTTTTTTTCTCTTTCTCTTTCATCTCTTTTCTTCTAGTCTCAATTATAAATTTTGTAAGGGCTTCCACCGGTGTTTTTATCGGTGTAAGCCCCAAAAAACTTTTTAATTGCTTTCAATAAATGGATCCCATCGTTATGATGGGGTTTATCCTATTAGGTTTAATTTTTTTGTTTGTTCGTTTGCCAAAGATTGAAGATTTAGGGTTTCATAATCTTCGGAAGTTTCTAGAAGGTCATATGCGTTTTTTCATCCAAATAACTATTCATCCGTGGATCTCAAGCCGAATTAGTGCTAACTCACATATTGAATTGCTTCGGATGAAGTTTTTTATTAAGGCAATCGTTGATCGAATCTGCGATGTAACTAGTTCTAAGGTGATTTGTACTTGTGTAGGAATTTTAAATTTCCTAGGAATTGTTTGTAAGACCACTCCCAATGGTGAGAAAAAAAAATGCTTGCCCACTATCTCTCTACCCACTTTCTCTCTCAACAAATCAGGTTTTTCCCATGAGCAAATTTTTTTCACAATTTCTCTCCCAATGTGAGCAAAAAAATGCTTGCCCCCCCACTCTCTCTCTCTTACTTTTTCAATACCCCACCATTACTTTCTCTCTCCTACACAACACTTCTTTATTTATTAATTTCATTTATATGTTAACAATATTACTCCAAATAAATAAAAACTAGTTTAAATTTGTGTAACTTATTTTTTTTTATTTGTGTCGTTTTTATCGTTAAAATTTGTCGTTAAATTATGTACGTTAGATGAAATAATTGTAAAAAAAGCTCCAAATTTCGTAAATGTTTTTATTTATTTTAAAAAGCGGTACATTACTAGAAATCAATTACATTTGCAACGTCATGCGTAATTAAACTTAGGGAATAACAGAAAAAAAAACAATTAAAAAATAACCCAACTGCGTACGGAAAAGTAGGTAGGCCATAGTACTGGGCCTTATTTAAGTCATGCTAATTTTTCCCTAATTACTTGGCCCGTATTGTAACCAAATATGTTCGACTAAATCACATTTCAGACATAGATGAATTTCTCTATCACGGAGGGAAGCTTTTCGCTATAGAAATGCGTTAAAGTCAAAGTTGGTAGGTCGGCCTACGTTGAATTCAAACGGTGGCGTTGTAGACGTTGATGCTGGTGTTAATTCTTATTGATCTTCTTCGTAGAAGGCTCTTAGAACTTCAGCTCGAGTGTAGTTGTGGCCACTCATCTTCAACAATCATGTTGTGCATAATGATACATGCTTTCATTATGTCCCGCAGTATGTCCTCGTCGTACGCCAGTGACGGTTTTCGTATTATTGCAAATCGAGCTTGCAAAACACCGAAAGCTCTTTCAACGTCCTTCCGAGCATCAGCCTGGTGGTCAGCGGACATTTTATCTTTTTGAAGTTGAGGGTATGTGATACCCTGAACAAAAGTTGCCCACTTCAGATAAATGTCGTCGGCTAAGTAATAAGCCATGTTGTATTCATGGCCGTTAACTGTAAAATTTACCGGAGGAGCTCGACCATGCAGAACCTCATCGAACACTGGTGAACGGTACAACACATTAATATCATTACAAGATCCGGGAATACCAAAGAAGGAATGTCATATCCATAAATCCTGATCCGCAACGGCTTCCAGTATTAGCGTTGCTTTCTTGTTCCTACCGACGTACTGCGCTTTCCAAACCGTTGGACAGTTCTTTCATTCCCAATGCATGCAATCAATGCTGCCTATCATGCCTGGAAAACCACGCAGTTCATTTTGATGCAGTATCCGGGCCAATTCATCAGTTGTAGGGTTTCTCATGTACTCGGTTCCGAACTGATCAATGACCTCGGCACAAAAACGTTGAAGGGCAACTCGAGCGGTTGACTGACTGATTCGAACGTATTCATCTACGGCGTCTGCAGCCATGCCGTAGGCTAACATTCTTATCACGACTGTACATTTTTGCAGAGGTGATAAGCCTAACCTTCCAGCTGCATCCCTACGCTGCTGGAAGTAAACATCACCTTCAACGACCTTGTTCATAATACGTAAAAACAAAGGTCGTTGCATACGAAATCTTCTTCTAAATTGGGTGGTGTTGTACACAGGATTATCGGAAAAATAATCATTAAACAGCCTGGCATGTCCCATTTCCCTATCTCTTCTATTTGTACCCCCTCTAGGTGTTTTTGTAGTAGGTTGGGATAGTGTTTGGGGCATGAGGAAAGTTGGGGGCTGGTATGTGAAGAGTTCATCAACGAGTTGATCATATTCTTCAGTATTTGAAGAAGATGAACTTGAACTTGATGATGGTCTGGAATACATCATGTATTAATATTATAAGTTTCTGAATTGGTGTGGTAGTGGATATGTGTCATGCCTACTATATATAGCAAATATATCAAATGAATATGTGGTTACAAATCTGAATGACCACACCAACTAAAGGAATCAAATTTTCAGCCACGGAATAGGTATACTACGCTAGTTGACAATGACAAATCTTGAGTGTAATTATGTCGGTATCAATAGCCAAAAGTTAAAGCATTCTGACAAAGTGAATTCAGAAAAATGTGACTACACAATGACAAAGACTAATTGCAATTACGTCAGTATCAATGACCCAAAGTTAAAGCATTCTGACAAAGTGAATTCAGAAAAATGTGACTACACAATGACAAAGACTAATTACAATTATGTTGGTATGAATGACCCAAAGTTAAAGTGAAATCAGAAAAAAGTGACTATCCAATGACAACAACTGAATAAATTATGTCAGTAATAATGACAACTGAAATCAACTTGTTAAACAACTTGTCATTCAATATTGGAAAATCAGAATACAAGTTTACATCTGACATTGAAATTAAACACACCAGTAATACAAGTTAAACATAAAAGACTACATTGCGCATAATTAAAAACTTAACTAATACAAGCGTACACCTACTCAAACCAAACATGCTTAAAAGCCTTGTAATTTACCCAGTAAAAAATTCTTGTACGACTCTTCTTCAGGAGTGAGTGGCGTAGGCGAATTCTTCAGAGTTTGCAGCATATCAAACATGGTTCTCATCTTATGAATGTCAAGTTCCTCCCGTTTCCTCTGTTCCTTATCCTTTTCAATTTTGATCCTCTCTTCCTTCAGAATGGCCTCCTTTTCGCGAATTGAAGCGAATTCCTTCATTCGTTCGCTAAGGTCAGACGAACCACTTTCTGTAGCTACTGCTTTCCCTTTACGCTTGGCCTTTGCTTTCTTAACACCTTCGGGTCGTTGTACGTATTCCTCCAGATGAAAAACCATCCGTAGGGGTTTCATCCCCTTCATCATCTCTGGACCTCTTCCCACTTCCAGCACTACGCTTGCTCCTCAATATCACAAGCAACTTTTCTTTCCTCCTTTGACAAGGACCATCTCAGCTTTGGCCTCCACTTTGGATCTTTATTAAGCATTTCAACTGCGTGAGGATAAGTGAAATTGCGACCTTGGGCGAGATGAAAAAGCTTCGACGCACTTTTTATACGGTCAGCTTCGTTGTAACCACTCCCTCCCTCCGGAAGTCTACCCGCTTCATCATAGCAAGATATCCACTGTAGTGTGTCTGCTGCCAACCTTCTCCAGAGCGACGTCAGACTCTTCATAGGTCTTGGTGGAAGTATATGCGGCTTCTCCGCATGAGCCATTTGATATGCTGCGTGTACATTGCGCCATAGGGAAGTTGCTTTCTGGCTCGTACCTTTAATAGCATCCTCGCTGATCTCCAAGTACAACCCAATCAGAGCTTCATCTTCCGCAACAGACCAAATTCGAGTCGCTCGTGCAGCAACCTGGTTGGATTCCAGTCTGGGAACTGGTGGAGGATATTGCGGCGTCTCTGGTACGTTTTCCTCTTCGCTCTCATCGAATTGTGTGTTGCTATCATGATCAGTTTCAGGTGTACGTTCTTCATTAACATGGTTTTGTAGGGGAAACTTAGTGGGTGTCTGATGCTGTGGAGGTGGTTGCAAAGACGTATTGCCCATTCTTTGCAAGAACGATTGAAACTCGGGATTAGTTAGGAAATCATCACTAAAACCCGAAAATTGTTGATAGAAATTTGGGTTGTTTCGATCCATTAAAAGATTCTGCATCAGAAAACAAAATATAAATATTTTTAAAAAGATTAATTTTAAAAACAAATTAAAATGACAACAAATCAAAAAAAAAAATCTATTACCAATTAATTTATTACATATACAACATTCACGTTCAACAACATATAAACAAAACATATAATACATAATTTAATGTAACAAAATTAAATAACTACACAAAAATAACATATAAAATATAATTTATCATAACAAATAACTTCACATATACAAAACAACAACCCAATTTCCAAAAAAAATACCAAATAATTTCAAATTAAATTAACTACAAATTTATTAATGTATGAACAATATCAACAACTTTCTTCAATTATATATATAATTGCAAGTACATTACATGAACTACATTTTTTTATTTGCAAAAAAATCACATATATACTAATTTTAATAAATAACTGAATTTATATATAAAAAAAAACATATTTACCTGAAAATGGGTGAAATACAACAAAAATATTCTTCTACAATTTCAAAATATTTTAAAAAAAATAAGAATATGGAGGATTTATGGTATTTATGAAATTATACCAAAATGCATGTCTATTTATAGAGAAAAATTTTTTATGACCGTTGGTAATTTTTTTTTTTTAATAAATAGATTTTTCAGAAATTGAATTACAAAAAAAATTACCGTTGTAATAGCTATATTATTCTTATTGGTCAAAAACATGTGCATAACACGTGGCGTCCCCGGATTTGTTCACTGACTAACGCGCGTCAGTCAGTTTTTGAATTTTTTTTTTTCAAAATTCCAACCTCAAAACGCTGCGTTTTGAGGTGCGTTCTTCTGCCCCCCTAGCGAAACGACGCGTTTTGAGGTTGGATCAGCCAAATTTTTTTATTGCTGGCTGCACGTTGTGGGGCCCACATAGAGCACTGTTCATCTTCAAATTTGCCCATGTCTTGGGCATTTTAAGAAATGCTCATGGGCATATTTTTGCGTTTCTTCATTTGATCACCATTGTAATGCATGAGCATATTTTTTGCCCACCCAAAATGCCCATGACCATATTTTTTTTATCACCATTGGGAGTGCTCTAAGTGCCATTTGGCTATCTTCCATTAATGAAATCCTTTTTCTTCTTGTAATATATATATATATATATATATATATATATATATATATATATATATATATATATATATATATATATATATATATATATATATAAGCATCCCAATTCTCGACCATCTATTTGCAAATAAATTATTGCGTATCTAACTTTTTATCATGTTTGATATCTAATTTTGTACGAATTCAAGGACAATGATAAATTGCAATATGATGAACTTCTTAAGGCACTACGTATATATATGTTGTGCTAGTTTTTTTCTTGTAAAATCTTATTACTAGATGAACAGTCGCACAACTAAAATTTCCAACTTATACGAGACATTTACGGGGCTTAACACAAGGTACTGGTTCGAATTTCCGGGGCCTAATATGCGGTACCGGTTCAAATTTTCGGGGCCTAAAAAAGGGTACCGATTTGAATTTTCGGGGTCTAATAAGGGGTATCGGTTCGAAATTTCGGGGCTTAATAAGAGGTACCGGTTCAAAATTACGGATCCTAATCAATCAAAAACGTTTGTCTGCAACATGAATTCATAATATCAGACTACATAAGATCAACTATTTCAAGTCAATTTGTGACATTAGCTACTTTACTACATGTTACATACTACAAGTTCATATTAAGACGTCAGATTATGTTCTAATATATTCAAATTTGTTTCAAAAATCTTGGCACTATACTACCATCTTCTCCTGCCGATAATTGTCTTTGACTACCGGTACTAATATCCGATAGGTGATAGTAATTACGAATGGAGGATCCAGTACATGGCCAAAGTTACTGGTTCCTTTGGCTAGAGGTCGAAGCTAACGAACTACCGGACGCAGATTACAGTAACAATACCCTCTTTTTCAGTGCCGGGGCTAAAATTGCAAAAAAAAATTGGGGCCCTGTTTAACTTTTTAAAATGGGGCCTTATAGTTCATAAATTTAATACCTAATTTTTATTTGATAAAAAAATTCATTACATTAGAAAATTCATCATTTTTTTAAAAAATAAAAGGGAGATGATTAAGGTTTACAAAATTAGGATCAAGAAGCACAATGTGGCCATGATCCTTGGGCCTAAAAAGGCTGCTGATCATCAGCAAACAAAACAACTTAAAATAACATAACATCCAAGCTACAAATCATACTACAAAATATCAAAGTTTGATTGTTCCAAGAAATCACTTAAAAAGAGTAGCTCTTCTTGTATGTTTTGTAGCAAAGTCATCGATGACATTCTCCATATCGACTTCATCTAAAAGATCAGATTCAATAGCCATCAAAGCGAGTCCATTTAATCTTTCTTGTGACATTGTCGTCCTTAAGTACGATTTCAGCAACTTCAACTTTGAAAAACTCCGTTCTGCAGAAGCAACAGTAATAGGAATTGTTAGTAATATCCTATATGCAATTGTTGCATTTGGTAAGCAAGTATATCGTTTTAAAAAATTCAATAAATCAATTGCTCCCATTTTCTCCTTGGGTAAAAACTCTCTAAACCATGTTAACTCAACAAATAAATCCTCTCCATCAACATCAGAAACCTCACCTTTCTTAAGAGCATTTTCAAAAGCTAAACAAGAAGATAAAAGTTTCTCATCATCCATTGAATGCAACTTATCAGAATTGAACACAAAAAGCCAAAGATATTATCATACGATTCATATTGTTCAAACCTTTTTTCCAATGATGCAATAGTTTGATCCACAATGTATATAAAATATTGGATTCTAAATGATTCCTCAGGAGATAATAGTGTTTCATCACCATCTATCTCATCAAATTGTCTTTTTCTACGTATTATACGTCTTTGTGGAAATACAGGATCAATGCCAACTTCAATAGCTAATTTTTTTGCAATATCTATGGCCTTTGAAAAACCATTCTCCCTATAATTTTTAAAAAAGGAAATCAACCCTTTAATCTCACCAATGGCGATATCAATCAGCATATCCTGGGATTGTAATTGTTTACAAACAAAGTTTACAGCACATAAAATTTCATACCAAATGATTGTTGCAAGCAAAAATTCAAAACTACCAAGTTCATTATTTGCTAAAGATCTAGCTTCACTTTGAAGTTTATGATCATTGTCAGCATCAGCTACTTCAGCTACTTCAAGTAAGGCTTCACGTATCTCAGGTATTTGAAATCTGATTGCTTTGATACTTTCAACACGACTTTCCCATCGAGTGGCAGATAATGATTTAAGAGTTAAACCTTTAACATTTTGTTTTAAAATATGCCATCTCTTAGTAGAACCAACAAATATAGTATAAATGCATTGGACTATACCAAAGTATTCCCTTGCTTTAGGAGAAGCATTTGCAATGTCACACAAAACTAAATTAAGACTATGACAACCACATGGAGAATAAAAAGCTCTAGGATTCAAATCCAATAGTCTCTTTTGCACACCTTGATGTTTACCTTTCATGTTAGAACCATTATCATATCCTTGTCCCCTTATATTATCTATGTCAAGATCATGAGATATTAACACATTTTCTAACACTTTAAACAGTCCTAGACCAGTAGTATCATTAACTTGTAAGAACTCAATAAAAAATTCTTTCACTTTATAAGAATTTGAACATTTGTCAACACACCTTAAAATTAAAGTCATTTGTTCTTGATGACTAGCATCAGGTGTACAATCCAACATCACAGAAAAATATTTTGCTTCTTTTATTTTCTTCATGATAGCATTATTGATTTTAGAAGCAAGTAAGAGTATCAATTCATTCTGAATTTCATGGCTAAGATAATGATGATGAATAATCCCATTCTCAATACGACGAACATGCTCAATAATCACAGGATCAAATTCAGCCAACATTTCAATCAAACCTAAAAAATTTCCATTGCTACTTTGATATAACCTTTCATGTTTCCCACGAAATGCAAGGTTATTTTTACCAAGGAACTTCACAATAGCAATAATTCTAATAATGACACTTTTCCAGTACTCCTTTTCTTTATGAAATTGGTCTTGGGTAATTTTGTCTATTGTTTCATTATTTTTCAATCTATTTCTTAGTTCACACCAAGCACCCATGTTAAAAATATGATCAACACTTGTTTCATGTTCTTTAAGTCTATGACTAACATGTGACCAATCATTATATCCTTCATTTACCAAATTGCCTTTTCCGATACCCTTTTTGAAAATTTTACAGCAAAAACAAAATACTTTTTCAATATCTTTAAAATAAACAAGCCAATCTCTATCACAAGTTTCACCATTAGGCAAATACCTAGTATATAAATTTGAAGTAAATCTCCTAGATACTTTGTCTTTAGGGCCTTTCACTATGGTTAAGTCTCTTTTAGGGCCATTGAGAGCCAAAATATCAATCAACTTCTGATCAAGAGCTTCCCATATCCTTGGATCATATATATCACGAGAAACAAAATCATTTTCTTCAACATTGTGAATATTATGGTCTGAATTTTCCTCCACATTTTGTTCAAAATCATTAACATTATTCAGATTCACATCTTCTTGCTCAACATTAATATTATTATCATCAACATTAACATTGTCATTTATCACATCTACATTATCACTATCAACATTAACATTATCACCACCAACATTATCATTATTTTCTTTTAACTCTGAATCAATAGGATTTTCAGTTGACTGTGACACTATTACAAAAAACTTATCTAAAGCACCTTTTTGTGATTGAATGAATTGATCTTCCTTCTTTTTTTTATTGCGTTTTTCATGCCCAGATGGATACTTTCGAAACATTTTAAACACAATTACACAAAATATTTGATAAGAGAGGAAAAATATCA